GGTCGCCCTTCACCGCTATGAGGGCAAACGTGTAGCAAGTACCCCGCACAGTCAAGCCTTCGTGAAAAAGTCGCTTCAAAGAGACCGCTACGCGCTCCAGCAACCATGGCACCCCTCTACGAAGACCTAGGTATACATTATACAAAAATACATGCAATTTGTTCTTTAGATTTAAATAGAAACATTGTTCATCTGGGATGTCCAGTTTCGACCGGGTACGAACGGTCCGTCGTGTCCAGGTTGGTCGACAAGTCCAACATGTTTCACATGTTTCACCCACCCCCTGCCTAAGCTTCTTGTTGCAGCTTCTTGCCACTAGTAGTATGGCCAGGAGCTACTAGTAGCTTTTTGCTCCGTTCGTGGCGATGCCCTTTGCTCCATTCGTAGTAATGCTCTTGTTACTAAGCCCTTCTACCCCTGATCCCTTCGACCAAACGAGGCGCATCAAGAGAGCTCCCCAGATCCCTTCAAAACCCACCACCTGTAGGCCCGGCAGATCCACGTCCTCGCTGTGCCGACGTGAGAGGCTCCATCTGCCGATTGGAGTGGTAAACTTGAGGCCAGGGGGAGGAGGTCGAAAGCTAGCCGAATCGCACCGGATGTACTATTTACATCGTCGGCAAAGCATGTAGTGTATATATGTTTTGGGAAAAAGGTTGCAATGTACATACTTTGTGCTAAAGAATGTAAATGTGACATCGCCGACTGGGAAGGGTACATTGGAACAACCCGGGTGCACTCGTTGGCAGGCACGAAGATGCGTGATCGGCAAATCTGGGGGGTAAATTTACCCCCCGCTTATGTATGCCTTGAGTCGGAAAGAGGGGTAAGCATTTGGGCGTCCGTAGTGTATAAGCACTGGTAAAAGGTATAAGGAATAGAGTGTCTTGAGGAAAGAGCCGGTGTATGGATATAGCAAATCTGGGGGGTAAATTTACCCCCCCGGTTATGCATGCATTGGGTTAGAAATAGGGGTAAACAACTTGTAACAGTGAAGTACAAGTCCTATGCTCAAAGCGCAACCTTTTATATAACAGTGAAGTACTATGCTCTAAGCCTATGCTCAAAGCCACCCTTTTATATAACAGTGAAGTACTATGCTCTAAGCCCTGCATCTTGCAAGCACATCCATGCCAAGGCCAAGATTAACTAAACAGCGAAAACAAAAGAACACTTGTATGCCTGCAGCTGGGAGTTGAACCGGGGGGGTGGATAGCGTGACATATGATGTTTTATCAAGCTTTAAGGCACGCAGCTCATCTCACTACCAAATGCTAAAGCACAGAAGAACTCAGCGCACTGCGGTCGTTGAGGTCAAAGCTTACCATCGAGATTTCAATGGAGTGGGATCAAGTCTATGGACATATACCTAAAGTAAGGTGCACTTGATAACCTGCAGCTATGGAGGCGGACGAAAGGTATAGAGCTTAGATAGAGCTTGGCTGCTTAGGAGCAGCAGCAGCAGCAAAAGCAGCAGCAGCCCAGCAGGCAAGCAGCAGCAGCAGCAACCGCCTGCAACCAGCAGCCAGCAGCAACCACCAACCAGCAGCCAGCAGCCAGCAGCGCAGCGCCAAGCCGCAGCAGCAGCAGCAGCAGCAGCAGCAGCAGCACCACCCGCAGCAAGCAGCAGCAAGCAGCAGCAGCAAGCAGCAAGCAGCAGCGTCAGCAGCAGCGGCGTTGTCAGCAACAGCAGCAGCAGCAGCAGCGCCAAGCCGCAACAAGTAGCAAAGCAGCAGCAACAAAAGCGGCAACCAGCGGCAGCAGCAAACAGCAGCAGCAAGCAGCAAAGCGGCAGCAGCAGCACCGTTTACACCGGACCAAGCCACCGTTTACACCCAACCAACCACGTTCACACGTTCAACCAACCCCCGCTACGCGGCGCAGCTGGGAGTCGAACTGTCCCTCTTAGTGTGATATATCAAGCTTTAAGGCACGCAGCTCAATCCCACTACCAATTGCTGAAGCAAAGAAGAACTCAGCTAGCATGCTAGCTTTCGTGATCAAAGCAGATTTGGTTGACTCACTGGGTCGGTTCATGCATCAGTAGCGGCCTGCCACTGCACTCTGCACTCTATACCGCTCGTGACGTCTCCTGCACTCGCAAAGACCTTGTCTAACTACGGAGATTCTCTGCGCAGAACGCAGACGCCAACGCAAGTGAACCCGGTCGATCCGAGTCCTTGAGGAGCCATTCCTCAGCAACCCGTGCGGAGGCAGGTGATGAGTCATGAACAGGAGAGGTTGAAGGGCCCTATATAGACATCTATAGACTATAGGTAGCTCAGTAGGGTCCTATAAGGTGACTAGTGAATTAACCTCTTTTGGGAGATTCTGCACCCGCTGTCGAAGAGCTAGGGGCATTGGGAAGCACTGCCGATGGACTTTGGCCAGTCTTCGGCACGGCAACGCCGCAGGCAACGATGCGAGGTCTCCAAACTCGCTTGGCGCCCTCGTGCACTTTTTCTGTTTGCTACACTCCCCAGGCAACAGGCTACAGCCAAGGCACCAAACTTGCTGATCATGCTTGGTTTCAGCAGCTCGACTTTCTTCGCAGGCTGGCAGATTCTGCTTCGGAAAAGCCGTCCATTGCTGGCAGCTCCGGAATCCATTCATGGTCTCTCTTGTCATTGGCCAGATCGCGCTGTGGTTGTAAAATCAGAAATGCTCACAAGGCTCACAAGACCCGGGTTAACCCTGTGACAAATATAGCGCATCGAGAAGATTTGCAAGACAAAACTTCACATACAACAGCCTTGCCCTCGCACTCTCTCCCTTCCAATTGCTATCTTCCAGACCTCCAAACCCAAACTGAGGAGACAGGGCCTGGTAGGACCCGAATTTGAGGCTATTAGGCTTGACCCAAGCAAGTAAATTGGCCACAGCGGCCGCAGAAGAAAAACACTTTCAATGCCCTTGCCAGCCATTGCTTCTTTGGTGAGCCCATGTCCAAGGGACCCGATGCTACCCCGCAGGATGCAGGTGAATGTTACATATTCTTTGATTGTTCTTGAGTGCAGTGCTGATGTCCCCAACCCCCAGGATGCAGGTGAGTATAAGATACTGTTTGCTTGTTAGTGCTTGAATGTAGTGCAGGTCTGGCCCCCGAGCGGTCCAGCGGTTCGCGTACGGAAAGCAGTGACAGTCGTGCGGTCCAGCGCTGCGCGCGTGTGAAGTAAGCGCCAAAGGTCCAAAGACGTCACTCATTGTACAATGAGTGTGAGACCAAACATGTTGGTGAGTGTGAGATATTTTGTGTCCTTGTGTGTAGTGTTGAAAGTGCGCAAGTGAGTCTTCGTTCTTGATGAAAGTGATGCAAGTGAGTGAATGTCCGGCCGGCCTCCTCCGGTGGACACTTCGCGAAGGAGGTACTGTGAGATGAAGAAGCTCGGGCACAGGATCACACAAAGTGCACCGCAGCGCCCCACCCACGCACGAGTTCACGGATATCAGGGCCTAATAACGTCCTACAAACCACAAGGGTTGGGGATTCCCTTGCAAGTTCCCGGAGCCAAACCTTCTTGACATTGACATGTATTGTGCCACTTTTCGAGGACCAGCCTCACTTGCTCAACCATACCGACCTTTCTGATAACGCAGGACTTCCTGGAGCTCCAGTTGGACCACTGCTTTGGCTGTAAGTTTACCTAGTTTGGCCGTTGCCTTCTTCGGCTCTGCTGGCGCGCTACCGGTGCTACCGGAGGAAGTAGTGGAATGCCACATGGTATGAGTTTCAACTGCAAGGGGTGATGGAAGGTGTTACACAGTTAGACCCTATTATCCCGGCAAGAGACCCCAAACAGTGTGTGTGAGGTCTATAAGCAGAAAGTCTAGAGATCTAGACGCATTTGGGTCCAGAGAGGTGATGGTGGTGATGAAGGTGGGGATCGTGGTGACGGTGGCGATGGTGGTGAGTGAGTGAGTGTGAGTGTGAGTGAGTGTGAGAGTGAGAGCGAGAGTGAGAGTGGGTGAGTGGGTGAGTGGGTGAGTGAGTGTGAGTGGGAATGTGAATGCGAGTGAGTGTGAGTGTGAATGTGAGTGAAGAGTGTGTGTGGGTGTGAGCGTGTGTGAGTGAGTGAGAGTGAGAGTGAGGAGTGAGAGTGAGCATCTGAGAGCACAAAGTGCTGTGCCTGCAACGAAATCTTCACATCGAGGTTCACAAAGTGCTGTACATGCCACGAGACTGCCCTTCGAGGTTCACAAAGTGCTGCGCCTGCCACGAAATCTGCACTTCGAGGTTCACCAAGTGCTGTGCCTGCC